TGTTTGTTATGCTTAATTTGGAATTCAGTAACAGAAAATGGAGAAAGGAACAAAGATATTTGCTCGAGAAAAAAAAAGAAACGCCAGACAAGGTTATTTAAATAAAATGAGACAATTTATATGTGAATTTCAATTTCTTTGAGACAGAGAAAAGTTGAATTCGGTTCTTCAGTAAATTGTGATATATTTGTATCACATGCTTCACTTGTCTTCTTCAAAGACAGACATCCATTTCCCAGCAGTTGAAGTGAATGAACGAAAACGAATAAAATGAGATAGTTTCGCAAGTTCTTCTTCCGTATCGTGATAGATAATGTTCACATTGCCCTTTAAATTTTGACGTAAATATTGATTAAGTAACCAAAAAACACAATGGTCCTAAAGTTTTCACTTGTTCTAATGGAGCTGTACTTGATTCTCGTATATTTTTATTAATGAGCCTTTTGAATATAGATATGAATAGATTTTTCCGCTTTGATCAGGTATAGGGGTGTTAAAATCGTCGAAAATATCGTTTGCAGCCAAATCTTTGACAAGTAGTCACTGTTCTGCTAATCATTTTTTCCTTTCTTTCATATCTACCTTTTCTAAAACAACGATCAAATATATGGATGTCTTCATCAAAGTATTTCTTACAATACATCCATGTTTATCTCTCATTACATAACATAAATAAAAGTTCACTTTCTTTATTCATCATATAAACGTTCGCCTCCTTCACATAATAGTGTAATTTATATCAATATACACTTGCTTCTATTAGAAGACGTCATGGTTATTAAATAAATTCACACCCTCAACAATTCCTTATAGTAAAAGTCTTGGAAAAGAAACAAGTGAATACGTTTCCACATAGAAATCGTTTAAAGGAATACAATCAAATAGTTTTTTTTTCTCAGTAGAATGATTTTGGCAAAATGTCGAAAATGTTGATAAACTATAAGCTAGTTTAATAACATTCTTCTTTCTCTTTATTAAGAAAAAGATTGATCTATTCATTGGATGTTATCGCATTTGTTCTTTTTTTAGATTTGTATGTGATAAAGTAAATCTCTTGGATTTCATCGAAGATATACGTTTTTGAAAACAAGTACTTTATATCTCAGACGGAATCTGTTCAAATCTTAACGATAACTTTGATTACTCTTAAATTTCTCATGTATTTCGTTCTTCAGTTCGCAATCAGGTATTCATTCTTACATCAAACTGACGGATTCTATTGAAAATTTTATATGTAATGTTCTTCTATTCAATCATTCTTTGAATGATTTAACTCTATTTCTCGTAAATATTCATATCTTTCTTTTTGTGGAAAATTTTGAACTTTATCAAAAGCACTTCACTATCAGTTTTATCAGCAGAAACAAATACAGGATAACTTCAATTACTACTTTGTTTTTTTTTCTGACGAGATTCGTTCTATACATGAACAGTTGGATATTTTTGGAATTTCCTTATACGACAATTTACTCTTAAGCCTATTCGTTCTATCACTGATTGAAAATCAAATGACTATATCATTTCTTCATTATTTTATGTATTTCCAATGACTTTGATCAATATAACTCTAGTTGCGGCAGTTTGACGTATTTAGATATCATTTATATGAAAAACAGCTGCATAGTTCTTTCAGTAAAAACGACGTGATGCTCAAAGCACTTATATTTTTACTTTATTCCAGGGAAAAGTCATGGTCTTTCATTATTCATATGCTCATAAAGTTCATTTTTTTTGTCATAATACTCAGGGATCTCTCTAAATCGAGAGAAAACATGTTCTGACAAACAACCAATCTATCGTGTAAAGCTGAACATCACAGAAACATTTTTCACTCTTTTAATAGTTCCAGAAGCACGATCTATCCTCGATGTGAACACAACAGGCGATATCAGTTAACCATTAGTTGATCTGGAAATGGCGTTTTCAGTAACATTTCCATAATCAGAGCCCGAAATGAGACAGTATTTCATCAACTCTCTTCGGTTTTATATGTTACAGTCTCGCAAGTCGATCGTATAAGAGGAGAATGTATGTTGAGAATATCCTCTAGTGTTGTGATGTAAGTAATCTGTAACGTATCAGATTTTGATTGACCTGTTTCTTACATTAGTATATTTGCTAATATGCAAACAAAAAATACTACAACAGTTCAGAGAAAATGACTTCCAAAATAATGAGAAATACAGCTAGCTTTAATAACAAAGTTCATAGTGGTAATTGATTTACGTTTCAAAGATACGGAAGTACGTGAAGATACGAAATATTCTTAGAGCACTTGAGAGAGATTTATTGTGATTGAGTAAAGAAAATCAACACTTGTTTATTCTTGGGACCCATCAGAGTATATACTCTAAAACAAATTAGCATTCCACTGAATCGTAATACAGGTTGCGCATCTATTAAAAACATAATGAAATACTTTACAAAGGGTAAAAAATCCTGTTGTACGCCGTTGAGGAAGTTTTTCTCTTTCCCAGGCCAATCACGCACGGGCCGTTTATAACTGCCGTAGTAATAGAGGTTTTTACTTTGTATTTCCATGTGTCTCAAATCCCATGCGAGATGAAATCCTGCTATGGATTTCTTATAGAACATTCTGAAATCTGTCTTTCGTCTTTCGGGATTTCAAGAGTGAACATTCATCATTGAACTAAGCTTGAAGTTCTGAGGAAAAGTAGAGTAGCTTTTGTATAACCATTTAGAAAATATCCACAAGCATTTGTTTGAAAGGAACACTAGCAGAAGAAATCAAGATTCGAAATATTTAGTGTTCGATCCATTTAATTTGCTGCTTTTTTAAACCTTAGATAGAATCTGCTAACGATGTTGAAATACATATTAATATTTCATCTATTCGCAAGTGTTACTCTCGCTTTTCATTTATATAACACGGATGTATCAAGTTACAGTGATTACAAAGATTGCTTATATTCTTTTACTGTAAAAAGTGATACCATAGAATGGTATTTAATACCATATTGTATTCAATATAATATGAAAGATTCTGGTCATGATGGTGATGAGCAATGTTATGGTAATAATATTTCAACATTTGAAGAATTAAAATCTCGNGATTAGGCCAGGTCGTTGCCCAGACAAACCTGATTTATTGTACATTGGTCAATGTACGACAGCATCTGATTTTGGTTGTCAATATCTTCGCGGTGTCTATTCACCACCTATCCAATATATCTTTCGAGAAAATTGTAATCATCAAGTTAAATTACTTTATTCGATCGACAATGAAACAGATGAAACAAGTTGTAATGCATGGCCACCGGCCTATTGTGACGGTTACTGGGATGTCAATAATGGAGAAGACGAGCTCAATTGCACAAATACGACTGTGTCTTACATTACACATAGAGTTTTTCAATGTAATTTAAACGAACATTACTGTGTATATTTAAATGGAACTATGGGTTGTTTGTCCAAAGAACGTGCAGGAGATGGTTTCATCGATTGTTTGGGAGGAACAGATGAAAGAACAACAGCGTGTGTTTCTTGCGACGGTTTTGATAGGTTTTATTGCTCGAATACCACTGATAAATTCTTAGATGACAGCAGTATTGCGTCTCCACTTGTATGCATATCGCGTTTTCTACTTTGTGACCAGACGGAAGACTGTCCTCATGGCGACGACGAATTAATGTGTCACCGGGTAGAGAATGGTGAGTGCCCTATAGAGACGGATTTTATGTGCCATAATGGCACATCTATTGATCGTGAACAACAATGCAACGATATCATTGATTGTCACCCAAACGCTGAAGATGAATGGTTTTGCGACCTTTTCAAGCGAAAGAGTTTGAAATTTGCTCTGAATAAAATCGAAGCATATCCTTCTATTATTATTGATTCGACGTACCCACCGAATATTGTTGCTACTCAATCATACGTTGCATCACGTCCAATCGATGATACTTCATATAAAAATGTGAATCCACTCGATAATTGGTTTTGTAATCGTGGTATTATTGTCAGGAAACGATCTTCCTCTGCTGAATGCTTTTGTCCACCTAGTTACTACGGTCGAAGATGTGAATATCAATCGGAACGTTTGTTCGTTATTCTTCGATTAGATAGACCAGTTAGCCTGAGTGGACATCAAAATCATCAGTATGCTATTCGATTAATGGCTTATTTAGTGCTTGATGATATTGTAGTTCACTATCAAGAAATTCTACATGCGACTTTCATGAAACAAATGTTTTATCTCAATTATCCGCGTCCAGCACCAAAACCACGTGGCAACTGGACTGTTCGTCTCGATGCTTTTGCTGTTACCNATTATTGTCAAAATAATGGACGATGTGTACAGAACAATTTCAATGGAGTATGGGACTTTGGCTGTGTGTGTAGTGAATGTACATATGGATCATTATGTCAATTAACAACATCTGAATATGCCTTCTCGTTAGATATGATGCTCGGCCAAGATATTCGCGCAAACGTATCGTTGTCTAATCAGTCTTTCTTCATCAAATTTGTATTGGCACTTTTTATTCTGATGCTATTATTTGGCTTTATATCAAATTTGCTGTCATTGATAATATTTAAAAAGCAACTAAATGTCCAAAAGTATGGATGTGGTGTGTATCTCTTTTTCTTACCTATAGTTGGTCAGTTTGGATTGACTGTATTCATTGGTCGGTTCATCTATGTGTTGGGAACGCAGTTGTACAATGTCAATAATCGATCAGCTGCTCGTTGGAGTTGCGTCAGTCTGGAATATTTTCTTAGTACTTGTCCGATGTTATTTGATTGGTTAACAGCATGTGTGGCAGTCGAACGAAGTGTTAGTGTAATCAAAGGTGTCGCCTTTAAGAAGTCCGACAGTGTTTGGTGGGCGAAACGGGTTATTTGTTCACTTCTAATCATTGTTTTTCTCAGTTCTTGGCACATACCATTCATCCATGATATAATCGATGATCCACGAGCAACAGCTCTGCATGTATGGTGTGTGATCAGATTTCCACGGTCATCACTTCGATACTATCGTCTTACAGTGAACTTGATCAATTTAATTATTCCAGGTTTGATTAGTGTCGTTGCCACAGCATTCACGTTGCACAAACAAACGCGCCTTAAACAGGCACTGCTGGCCAACGATTCGAAAGAGAAAGGTTATCTGAAATCATTGAAGAAACAGCTTCCCTTCTATGGCAGCCCGCTTGCATTGGTAGTTTTCAGTTTGGTTCGACTCATCTTCTCATTCACACTAATCTGTATTACTAAGCAATGGCAAAAATATGTCTATCTGACAGCCTATTTTATCTCTTTTACTCCATTGATGGGAACCTTTCCGATTTTTGTTTTGTCAGCCAAGATTTATAGAACAGAGCTTGAAAATTTCTGGAAACAATTAGTTGAAAAATTGCGAGGACCATCGGCCTAGTAACATGGTTAATTCGGTTTCGTTCTATTGATACACAGTTATTTCTTTGAACTTTTTACTTTTTCGTTGTGAAAACAATAAAAATATCACAACACTCAACCCTCTATTTTAGTGTTTGAAAATCAATAATAGTAAAATTATATGTAATTGATTATTTATGCGAAAATTGATGCATCGATGAATTCAAAAGCATTTTTATTCATCGTAATACAGAATACAATTGATCATGATAGACGAAGAAACTTTCGATAAAAGGGAATAAGATTACTCTTTTGTTACTTATACAAATATTTGAAGAGTATATCATTGAAAATCAATTAAAAGAATACTTTCAAAATTGGACCCATCACGACGTATTGAGTTTCTCAGGTCTATTCCGTAGACAATCTGGTATTAAAATAACTCGGACTAAGTAAATATATTACAATATAATTGTATTCGTTGATTCGATTATTCACTTCCGTTTAAATCTGTATATAAGCATTCAATAAAACATCTCGTCGTCATTCCGCATTACATTCGATAACGTATACATTAATATGGTTCGACTACATTACATATGTTTTCTTCTCCTTGGACTTCTTTCTACAGTTCACAGTATTCATTCTGATCGTCAACGACGACAAGCCAATGGATGTGGACCTGGTTATTTCAATATTGACGCTGATTTACGATTGGTAGGTGAGGGTTCACTTATTTCGTGTTGTAATGCTCATGATCTTTGTTATGATACCTGTGGAAGAACACAAACTTCGTGTGATAATGATTTTCGTGTGTGTTTAAACAATACTTGTGGGCGATTAAGAGGTTGGTTTGAATGGTGGGCACAAGTTCGTCAATCGGCTTGTAAATTAGACGGGAAAACTCTCTATAAAGTGGTCGATGCAATTGGTAGTTTTGCATATAATAGTGCACAAAAAAAACATGGCTGTAAAAGCGGATAATCACTTACCAAAGAATCGTCATAGCTACTCTTTGAGTACTATTTTCTTTCCAAAAAGAATATTTTATAATCTTTGAAATTTTCTCTCAACATATTTAGAAAATTATTCAGTGAAAGATTTCTATATAATTTCTATGTTTGCTGTACAAATACACGAAAGTTCATCTAAAGATTCTAAGTGATATTTGAACAAAGAACTCTCGACTAGGAATTTGAAACTACACATGAAACATATCTCAAAGATTTCAATCAAGGATTTCGTTTCTTCAAAAGTTTGAATGCAACAGAATCTATTTTGAGTAGCTAGAAATTTCTGCTTTTGGCATAAAGAACTTTCAGTACTCGGAGTTCGGGTGAAAAGTGTACTACAGTACGTCTACTTGATTGTAGAAATGATTCTGAAGATTTGCTGAATCAATTCATTATAATCGTTGATTATCTTTAACACAAAATTTATTCAATGAAAAAATATGAGGTAATCTCCAAATCTTGACTTCTTAACGTTTATTTGATGAATCACTTTCATTTGTTATTTTAGGCAAAACATCATATTTTCGTTCTCTTAAGAAACGCCCATTTCTTTACTTGATATTAAATATAATAATATGCATCATTTGATGCGTAAACATAATTTTGTGTATATTTATACAATTACCTGCTTTCATTCCTTCACAATTATACTGCGTATGTACGTAAATAGTACATAGTTCACCAAAGTGTTTTTATAGTGAAATATATTTTCGTAACAAACATATTTCTTCAAATCAGTTAAATAATGCTGACTCGTTGTATTACCGCTCTTGCTTTTGTAATCTTAATCCATTTTGTATCGAGAATATCTGGCCATGCTTATTTTATTTATCCAATTCCTCGAAATGTTTATTGTGCAAATTCATCATGTACTTCTAATGGTACATTGGGAGCACAAGGACCAGTTTGGACTTTACCATCCAATAGTACATTGTCGATGACAAGTGTAACGAGTCAGACATCTTGTAATGGCTCATCATTGTTAATTAGTGCTCCATTGGGTAATACATATGATTCAGGATTTAATGGAAATACAAGTGTTTCATGGTCAGCTGGTTCACTACAAACTCTTCAAATATTTATTTCTGAAATTCATTCACCAGAAAATCAAACTATTTATCCAACAGATGGTTGGCAAATTCTTTATCGAGATGGGACAATTCCTAATTCAACATTTGCTCCAATTTCATTCCTTTATGTAAATGTATCAACAACATCATCAATTGGTCCTGCACCAGCTATTGGATTTCAAGTGGGACAAATTGTTCAAGCTCAAATAACTGTTCCATCAGTTGCCACTACAGATGGAATATTTCAATTTTTCTGGCGTAATAACGAAGTTGGTCCTGGAGTTATGTGGTTATCATGTGCCGATGTTACTATTACTGCTACTGCTCTCGCTACTATTCCAACTCCATCAGTATTATCGATCTTTTTCACGGCTTTTGTATTTGTATTCAGTGCATCGATAAATATTTAAAATAAAATATGAATAGTCAACAACAAAGAACTTGTGAGGGTGTATTGAGAGTGTGAAGTCAGCAGGAATTCATCGAGTCAAATAAAATCCTTCTTAACATTATCTAAGAGATTTCAGACAGATGAAGAACTCCTATCTATGTGATTTGGCTTATGAGAAATTCTCAAATCAAGTTCAAAAATGACTTTGATTTACTCATCTCTACAAAATCAAGACAGTGTTGTAATAAACGCTATCTTTTACATTTAAATACAAAAATAAATTATCTTGATTATTAGATAATTTATTTTCTTTTTAATCCATACGATAAGTGTTGAAGCGATGGTACAAGATCTGGAGCGAGTGTAGAACACAAAAAAGTATGTATATCCACAACACCAAGATTAAATAGAAGACGATTGGTGTGTGGAGATAAATATGATAATGAGCATATTCTTTCTTAAAATATTATGTGAATTAGGTATTAACTATCAGCCTTTAAAATTTATTTTTTCTTCTGATATGAATACTTTTTCTTCGAAAACTCACATCTGCCAGGAAATCTTTTGTCGAGAGAATAGATGTTTTAAGTTTTTCCGCAAGTGTACATACAGATCACGGCACGACTGTGTGCCATCATAAAGACTAACTCAAAGTATATTATGGATCTTCTATTACAATCCTCGAAACTAAAATAAACATCGTTCTTAGATAATGACCTCTTTGTTTTGGAGAACAAATCAGGAGCACGCATTCAGTTTAGTCTTTTTCAATCTTTAATCGGTGAATATAATCACAATTCTTTCTCAGTCCTTTTCAACATTTTATTCTTGTTACACGTTTCAAGTACCTATACTTTATTAATTCAATTAGAGATAGAATCATCGAACAGTATCTGATATTCCTGATTTTTTAATTCACATTTATCTAAACTGAAAAATCGATTGAATCTATAAACAGATGAAATACGTATGATGTAGTGTTATGACAAACATCAAAGAATTCGAGTCATTTCACTTCCAAAGGAGTCTATATGTCAAGTAACTCTCGATCAAATTAATAAAACTGATCACAATGTAATACTGTCGGAAACATATCATGAATGTCAGTTTTTGACCATATTCCCGATGAATCTTTCTATCTATGCAATTAATTAACATTAACTGTTATCATCATATCAATCATAAATCCTATAGTTGTTGCCGTGTCTTTTTTTCTCTGTTATGATTTATTCCCGTTTTAATAAAATGAAGTTAGAAGTTAATTTTGTTCGAGAGTCAATATCGTTTGTCACTTCCTCATAAATCTATTTCACTTGCGATTTGTATTGACGACATAATTCCCACATGCGCACGTGTTACCAAAACCACTTTTAGGTATTGTAACATGACAATGACACTTATCACATTGAACTAAATTAAAGTTTTCGGCATCAAGTGGATGTTCCAAGCTCGGTGTATTGCCCATTTTCTCGAATAATTCTGCAAAATAAAATAACCTTCGTTACATTTAGTTAGAATAATGCTCTGAAAACCTTTCTGGACAATTACCGTTCAATATTATTCGCACTGTTTCTCACAAAGAAATAAATAGAATTATGAATACATCTTTGCCTGCTTTCGACAGAAAACTGATCGCAGTACACACGTTCGCTGATAAGAACGCGAATGTCTCTATCGTGGCTTCACATAAACACAATTGTTCTATATCGTTTTATCAAAGAGAGAAGAAAAAACGAAGAAAGTTTCTTCATATTCGATTGTCAGTAGTAAAATACGACAGATGTTTTTTATCCAAACAAAATATTAGTTTAATCCTTGAAATCGAAAAAAACAACAAATAAAACGAGGTATATTTGATCATAAGCCAGTGATATATCACCAAAGAGAGAAGAAATGGGCATTTGTCAATTAAACTTCGATTATTTGATAAGAAATATATACTTAGTATTGGATTATTTTATAAAAATATCTCTCTTTGATCGAAATCATCGCTTAGCTTCATTAGTAAAAATCTTGTATGTGTAAAAAAGCTATTCAATCTCACCCTTTATACGGAAAATTCTTATCGGTGTGTTAGCTAAAAACTTTTTTCCAAAGTTTGTCCCATAAATAAAAGTATCATCATGTGATGCAGAATTGAATTTTGAGTCGAATGGCGTAGTTTTCATGGACGGGACTTATTCAGTAAAAAGGTTTCTAGCTAACGCACCGTTTCTTCGTGCTAACTTCACATAGATGAATAATACTTCTAATTAAATATTAATAAAGAAATGATCGTCAAACAAATATCGATATTTCTTTTCTTTGATTTAATTAAGAAAATGAAGATCACGGATCTTTTTTTCATTTTCTTATTTATTGAATGGTGAAACGTAATAGAATTTTTTTATTTCCATCTCATGTTTTGTGCAGTGAAGCATTGCATATGAAAAATACATTTCGAACGATAAGATACCAATAGACTGTCATTGTACATATTGAGTAATTGCAAAAAAAAACATATTTTTTTCGATAAGATATCGAGTAAATATACGCAAATGGATGGAAAGAATAACCTGAATATCAAAACTTTTCACTTTGAACAATCAGAAAATGATCAATCGATCAATAACAAATCTGAAGACACAAGGGTAAGCTTAAATTTCTTCTAGAGTTGACGACTATTGACGAAGAACACGAAAGACAGAATCATGAAATAATCTCTTGAAAATATTTCATTCGCAAAAAATTCTTCATTGCCTAGTTATTATTTACGTGTTATCCTTTTTTAATATTTAAGCAACAAAATTCTGAAGAGGAATCAGAAACAACAAATGCATCGATAGTGAATATAATCGATCAAGGAGAAGAGATTGAAATGAATGGTATTAAGAATATAAATACAAAATCCACCGGACAAAATCAACGAATGGTGGATGCTGATTTATTAGAACAAAATAAACAAGAAACAAATACTATGAATGATATCCAAGCAGACCTTGGTCCCATTATTGGATATGCAGATGAACCATTGTTACCACTTACTGAAGCATGTGCTCCATTGGTTGATATTATTCATGATATAATGTTTTATGTTCAAATGGCATTGACTGAAACTTCATCCAAACCACCTGATCAATTAACAATTGATGAAAGTGCAGCTATTCGTCTTTATACAATTGAATGGAGTAAAGGACATCGAAGTCTTTATTCAATGTTAAATTATACACTTAAAAATGATACTCGTGAAAATCTTCGTCCTTATTTGAAATATCTGAAATTATTTCTAACTGCACTTGTTAAATTACCATGTGTTCCATCATTAACTTTATGGAGAGGAGTGACAAAAAATCTAAGTGCTGATTTTCCACCGGGTACACAAGTGACTTGGTGGTCATTTTCATCATGTACAACTGAATTAACTGTTTTGGAAAATAATATGTATTTAGGTAATTCAGGTCATCGAACATNTACCGATCATCAGAAAGGGACCCTCAGGTGGATTAAGGGAATGTAGATGACCAGGTTTCTTAAGGCGGCTAATATTATGCTGTTTACATAATAGACAAGACTGTATGTATCGTCTAATAGCAGATTTCATAGACGGCCACCAGTAAAGGTTTTTAATCTTCCGATAGGTGCGTTCAAACGAAAAATGTGCGCCTATCATAGGATCATCGTGACACGCTCGAATTAAGAATGGTTCCATAGACAAAGGTAAATAGACAACTGCTATTTTACGTTTAGAATGTCGCGAAGGTTTGATCATCTTATAGAGAAGGTCATCCTTAAATACAAAATCTAGATTCGGTACACCATCAGAAAGTTGACGTACAATAGTCTGTATAGCAGGATCAGTTCTTTGTTCTGCCTGTAGCTGACTGATATCGAAATAATTAGTGGAAAAGTGTTTAGGTGACACTGGCGGAGAAACAATTTGATCTGGATCGCTTTCGCTGACATGATCCCTATCGATTGTCTGCGTATCAGAGGTCAACCTATTCTTGTTAGTGTGTGATCGAAGTGTCATGGCAGCAAGGAGACCTTGTTTACTGGCTAATCCATATTCGATCTCGAAAAGTTCATCATGTGGATCAGGAGAATAGCGAGAAAGAAAATCAGGAAGGCAGTTCTCGCTGCCTTTGATGTGTATGACTTGATCGATATTATATTCCTGAAGAAGATGAGTAATACGTTCGACACGTGCATTATGTACTGATTTTTCCATGAGATGACAAAGAGGACAATGATCAGTACGTAAAATGATGCTGCGACCTAACAAAAATGTACGCATTCGGGCGAAACATTTGTATATAGCCAGTGCTTCTTTCTCTATAGTGCTATATTTACGTTCGCATGTAGTCATCAGTTGAGAATGGTAATACAAATTACGGATCTCACCATTTATTTCCTGTTGTAGTACTCCACCTATACCAATATTACTAGCATCAGTTGTCAACATTACAGGAACGTCATCAACCGGAAAATGAAGAAAAAGTGGCGTGCTAACGAGCATCTGTTTCAGAGTTGTGAATGCCTGTGATTGTGCATATCTCCAGTGAAACTTATGACGATTTGTTTTAGTAAGATTAGTTACTGCGTGTATAGGAGCGGCAACGGTAGCAAAATCAGGAATAAACTTCCTATACCAGCTCAAAGAGCCGATAAACTTATTAGCCTGTGCAAGAGTTTTAGGTTCTTTAAGTGCTAAAATAGTATCAATGCGTTCTTGCAGAGGTTTGAGACCATATTGACTAACCGTGTGTCCGAGGTAATCAATTTCTTGAGCAGCGAAAACACATTTAGGAGGGTTAAGAACTAAATTCTTAGCTTGTAAGGCAATAAGAACTCTTTCTAAATGCGCTAAATGTTCTTCAAAAGACTTAGAAAAAATAATGATATCATCAAGATATACAGAGGAAAAGGAACGACAGGATTTCAATGTATCAGTCATGACCTTTTGAAAGGTGGGTGGCGAGTTCTTCAGACCCATAGGTAGAACATTATACTGGAATAAACCGAAGGACGTAACAAATGCGGTTTTGGCTTTATCCTCGTCACGTATCGGAATTTGATAAAATCCGGATTTTAGGTCCAATTTAGAGAAATAGCGATAACCAGTACCTAACCGACGAAGCGTTTCTTCCATATTAGGTAAAGGTGAAGAATCCTTAATTGTAACTAAATTCAATCGCTTGTAATCAACCACAAATCGATGGGTTCCATCTTTCTTTTTAACAAGCATGGCAGGTGCAGCATAGGGAGAATGAGATTCAGAGATCAGACCTGCCTGTAAAAATTCCTGTATTAAATCATACAGGGTGTGATCTTTATCAGGTTGTGGGTAAGGTTTACAAGCGGGTGGAGAGTGCGGAACTGTATGTATAACATGATGAATAGATGTATTAGCAATGTTATGTGTACGAACGTCAAAAGATGATGAAAACTTAATAAGTAATCGATATAATTGGTCTCGACCGGATGGATCATCGATCGATTGGACCAACTGATCAATAGACTTTACTACCGACTCGGGTAGTGCATTAATTGCATTACAGGTGAAGGATTGAGTAGAAGGAAAAGAATGATGGTACGGAGCAAATGATATGGTCGAACCATGAGAAGAAGAATCAGCTGATACATTGGGCGGATAACACAACGAATCTGTGCGTGTATCAGGAATACTGATAGCATCGAATGATATTGAAGTAGTGGGAAAGATGATAGGAAAGAAACAAGATGTGTCGCCACAATTGATATAGCCGAGACGGTTATCATTGCTCACTGTGTGTTCTGTATCCATACGTATAGTAGCTATTTGACTATCGTACTCAATAGATATAGTTTGACGAGCTACATTAAAACTGAGATTATACTGATTTATATAATCCATGCCTAAAATCATATTGGTACATAGATTATCAGCGATCTGAGCGGTGACTGTAGTCATCATGTGAGCAAATTGAAGAGTTAGAAAGACCGTACCTAATACATGAAACGGGGCGACTCCGTCAGCTAAAACGAAGGAAGAATGGGTGCTGTCAATCATCTTATAATGGGGAAATTGTTCTAATAGATGTTTATGAATGAAAGTTGTTGTTGCTCCGGTATCAAGTAGAATTGGCGTAGAAAGTTGATTGACGTAAGCNATTTCTTAACATCGTCTTTACCGCCTTTGAACACCTTAGGATTTTTTATGAAATCTCCTACAATAGCTTTGCGAAGATCATTCAGAGTTTGATCAAGTTCAAAATTAGAAGAAGCTTGAGAAGAAATAGTGGAATTTATAGCTGATTTGCTGTGAATAGGGACGCCAACATCACTTTGGACTGCTGAAGTAGTTACCGAAGAAAATAATGGATCGAAAGTGTCCGACATAAAGTCAGTTGGAAGTTGTTTATGAAGTGAGGCAATAGATGTATGACTATTCTTTTCTGGCAAAGTATCATTCGTGAATCGAACATGATGAGTAGCAGCTGATGAAGAGGAAATAGATGAAGAATCGAATTCCGTTAGCATAAATGCGTAGAAATCATCAAAAGATTTTATTGATGCTCGATATCGAATGTAACGTCGTTTAGCTTCGCTTGCCAATAAAAATGATATGGCAGCAAATCGAGCGTGTCTACCTATATCAAACTTTTTGAATTTTTCTTCAGTGTCATCAAGCCACTGAATGACATCTTCGCGACCGGTATACTGAGTGAAATATTTTAATATGAAAATATCAAAGGAATCCTCTCCAAGTTGTTGATCATCATTAGAATAAGACTTTTTGTTAACATCATCAAGTTTCAAATTAGCGAATCGACTTTCTAGATTACTTTGTGGAGAACAATCATGTTTACTCGAGTGCTCCTGTGTGTGAGATAAAGAACTACCTTGATCTAATGGAATTAGAGTCTCGTCTGCGAAAGAATTGTTACTTTCAAATTCCTTTGTTTGTTGAAGTATCGTAGGTAGCAGTGTTAACCTCCCTGTTTTGGAAACTTTATGTAATACATCATCATCGATGTTCTGTGTAGAGGAAAAAGCTGGATTAACATTAAATGGTTCCAAATCTAGTGAGTCACGTGCTTCTGAAGCAAAATCTGATGCGCCGTGCTGGGGTTCTGTCATCGTATAGATATGTAAATATATTTATTTTTATTTATTTTTCTTTTCAAAAATGAATAGGAATGGATAATCGTCTCTGTGTAGAGAAATAAATGTGTCTACTAGTGCATAGATTGCGTAGGAAAGAAAAAGGAGTGACAAAAAGCAACTATAAAGAAATGACGTCAGAAATAAACAGAACGGATAATTTCTCGATCTGAATAGCACGCCGTTTACAAATGTATATATATATATATGGGTTCATTTTCGTATCAATAGTTACGAACGAACAAAATAGGCGAAAAGATGTCCAACTTCTCCACCAAAATGTGACTCTCTTGTATCAGGGGATGTGATGAGAGATGAAGAGAATGGATGTGGATGAGATAATAAGGGTGTTTTATTGGATGAAATCAAATAAAACACTAAAGAAAACGATAACAAAAGACTGATCGAAAAGAGAAAAACAACAACATATAAACAGATCGACGATGATCTGAGAAAAAAAAGAGGAAAAGAAGAAAACAAAGAAGAAATGCAATCACAGAGATCATCATGAGAACGGACATGATAATCAAACGAAAACTAAAACGAGAGGAAAGAAAGAGAAAAAGAAATACATATATATGTATATGTATAGAAATACAAGAAAACAACTATATAGAAGGTAGCGTCATGAAGTAATATCCAATGACGCTAACAAAGGGAAATTCACCTTCCTTGTTCGCAGTTTTTCCTTGTATTGCATTTTTGAAAGAAGATCTCATCAATCGTGAAAAGAAGGAAAAACATGGTACTTAACTTATTGATTAATAACCTCTTCTCAAAATGTTTTAATACGAGAAAAACTAGCTAAAAGAATATTTTTATTATCTATGGAAAGACTTAAATAAAAAGAATTGCACTTACTAAAACGATAACTATATAAAATAGATTATATACACAAGTGACAAATACTTTTTTATTTTGATTTAGGTATGAAATTCTTTACTAAACGTGCACAACAACTACTAAATTCTATGTTCCAAGTGGACGATATCCATGTGATAGGTGCTTTTCTACATCCAAACTACAAAACACTGAGATTTACAACATCGACTCAGATAGATTACTGTCATCAAGCGTGTCGAAATGCTACAGTACCTGATGGAGTTGATAATGAACAAGATGAAGAAACACCAGATGGTAAACCAAAAGAAAAACGACAAAATTTATTCATGGAATCATTGATGGATTATAATATGGAAGTCAAAAGAAAGAAAGTGAAGTAAACAAAAGATGAAGTTGACAGATACATCGAGTTAGATCTTCAGGGCAAAGTATTTCTAAATCCACTTCATTTTTGGAAAGAAAATGAATCAAATTATTCATGTTTATCTCGTTTGGCTAAGAGATATTTCGCAATTCCGTGCAGTTCTGCAGCAGTGGAACGAGAATTTAGTGCTGCGGGACAAATTGTTTCACAGAGACGATCTACAATCGATCCATCAACAGTTAACAACATATTGTTCCTTCGGTCAATTGAAAACAATCGAATGAAAATGCCAATCGTGTAAAAGATTATTCATGAGTTCTTTTTTCTTATTGATATTTCTTGTATGCTTATTAAGAAATAAAATCATGTCAGATAACTTGATAAAAACCTTATGTACCACATATTGCTCTAATAAAAAACTACACTAGATTCGTAATTGAGATGACATGCTCAGTACTAGTTTCTATAACATTTTCAAAAATTGAGGCGAGGCGAGGCGAGGCGAGGAGTGGCGAGGCAGCTAAATATTGCCTCGTTTCGGTCTCTACCGTCTACACAAAAATAACGATAGAGAAAAAAAAATGCGCAATCGACAATGAGTACTCGTTTTTTATTCGTTAGGCCACCTGTACCTGTGCCCTATGTAACCTTTTATCGAGTACTATACGATACAGGTACGATTATTTTAAATATCTACAACGCTTCTCAATTTACAATTTCTTTAGAATAGAATCATGACATTGACATACTATATGTAAACTATAGAATAAAACTAATTTTCAAAATATATTTTCGTCAATCCTACAAAAATTTTCTCATTTAAATTCGTTTCTAGTCACTGAATACGATCGAACGTTAGAATTTTTTGACGATGTTTCGCTCATAAAATATATCATTTCTATTTATGCATGATTTATTCGATTAATGTAATACGCAAAAAGAAAAAAATCGAAGTACTAATTTCAAACAGGACATAAGCTTTTCTTGTTTACGGATTGAATGCGCATGACAAGATAAATGATCGTCTACGATGCAAAGCGATACAATTAGAATATTTTAATTTGATGAGCAGAACGAAAAAAAAAATAGTATAAAAGGTATGAAGTATAAACCTATGCTTCGTAGTCGTATTAAACAAAGAAAATTTTCAAAATGCAAATTGGTAAATATCTTTTAAGCCGTTTTACAAGTCTTGTACCACCATTAGTTCTGCCAGAAAATCCAATAAAACTTCTTCGAATGCTCAATCGTCGTCAAACTGCACTTTTTATTGTAGCTTTACTTGCTTGGACATTTGATGCTTTTGACTTTTTCTCGGTAACACTTAATATAACTAATATTGCTGAAACATATGGTAAAACAGCATCGGATATTACTTGGGGAATTACAGTTACTCTTATGCTTCGTTCTGTCGGTGCCATTATTTTTGGTGTTGCTGGCGATCAGTTTGGTCGTAAATGGCCTTTTATTGTTAATGTTGTCTTTTATGCAATTGTAGAAATTTGTACCGGATTTTGTAATACTTATGAACAATTTCTCGGTGTGAGAGTACTTTTTGGTATTGCAATGGGTGGTGTATATGGAAACTGTGCTGCTACAGCTTTAGAAGATGCACCTATGGCTGTACGAGGTCTCTTATCAGGTATGCTGCAACAAGGTTATGCACTTGGTTATCTTCTTGCTGCTGCATTTAATCTGGCTATTACTCCAAATCAAAGTCATGGTTGGAGAGCACTTTTCTGGTTTGGTGGAGTTCCTCCTTTTCTTGTAGTACTCTGACGCATTTTTTTACCAGAGACAGAAACGTTTACTCGCGTCAAGGCGGAACGCGTAGCCAAAGCGTTAGAAAGTAAGTTCGACAGAAAAAAACTTCTTTTTCTCACAGTAGAATATTTGAAATATTTTAGATAAAAAAGATTCCAAAGTATCCAGTGTGCGAGCATTTCTTAGTGGAATTCGTCCTGCATTGGCTGAACATTGGGCTACATTAATTTATTTGGTATTGATGATGGCTGGATTTAACTTTTTATCTCATGGAAGTCAAGATTTATACCCAACGTTTCTTTCTTCTCAATTGGGATTTTCTCCTACTTATGTTACTGTAACTACAGTTGTTGCGAATTGCGGTGCTATTCTCGGTGGTTCAGTGGTGGGATATTTTTCAAATTGTTTTGGTCGACGACTTTCAATTCTAGCTGTTCTAATTATCGGTGCTGCTCTTATTCCTGCCTACACTCTTCCACGTACTAAAAGCATTATGGCAGGAGCATTTTTCGAACAACTTTGTGTTCAAGGAGCTTGGGGTGTTGTACCCATTCATCTAATGGAACTTGCACCTGTAAATTTTCGTTCATTTGTTGTTGGCACGTCATATCAACTTGGAAATTTAATTTCATCAGCTTCATCAACTATTGAAGCCACTGTAGGTGAAAAATTTCCTCTTTCAACATCATCAAGCTCATCTACTCACAAGCAATATGACTATGGAAAAGTCATTGCTCTATTCTTAGGAGCTACCTATGCCTATTTATTGATTATCATATTTTTAGGACCTGAGAAAAGAAATATGGAACAAGAGAAAGTAACCAAAATTGAAGTTGCAGAAAATGAAATCGACGTAACCAAAATCGAAGTTACAGAAAAAGAAATCGAAGTAACCAAAATTGAAGTTACAGAAAATGGAATCCAAGTAACACCAATATCAACAAAAAAAGTGGAAGCATTTTAATTTTTCTACAGAAAAGACATTATTTACTTTGTGAATAAATAAATGAAACTCAAATGAGAAGATATTCTTTTTTCATGAATAGATTCGAATTCTTATCGAAATCAAATCTCACTCTTTTCTTTTTTATCGATTGAAAAAAGAAAGTTTAGGAATGACTTCGAAGTGTAAAAGAGAAGAAACATCCTTTCTACCTATTTCGACAATTCTTCATGAATGCATTTTGGATTTATTTATCTTTCGGTTCATGAAACTTCAGATAGCTCTCAATTAAATTATTCATCACAATATTATGGAAATTGACTTAAGATCTTTTATTTTGTTTTCAATATAAGGGATAATCTAAATATGTTTTGTATATAAAGGATGTGATTCCTCAGAAGAAGAAATAAAGAAAAGCGTAATGCTATCAACGCTAGTCATTCTTCCACCATAGGAGGAACAAGATCAAATTACAACGAATTACGCCAACCTTCTGGCAAATAAATACAATAGTGATTATCATACAGTAGCCAGTGCATGAAATTAAGATGAATGTGGAACAGAAAACAATCCAAATTGTAGCAAAGAATATGCTTATCATGTTATTGGACTAATGGGTTAACTCTAATAAACAAATATTGTTGTCAAAATTGATGAAATCCAACTGATTACGATGCTTTTTCTTTTTTTTTGTATCAACGTTACATCTTGATTCATTTTTTTCTTAGAAAAGTTGTTATAAACAATAAGATTTGAGAAAATCCAGCAAATTCCTGATATAAATGAATAGGACGCCTTTACTCATACGCTCAAATATGTTAAAAAGTGTGCTGATATGAATCTGAGTATCTATTTTATACGTCTATTCACTCCCTAAGGATTTTCTTGGCGAAACTCAAAATTGATTAAATATATTATTTCTAAATGAAGATGAATATTGATCAAAATGATCATGCATATTTGGAACAAAGAACAAAACGGTAAAATGTTATAAATTCGTATCGATAAAAGCAGTTTCTTGAATAAATTCGTTATTTCCCAGGTCGTCAAATCCTAGAGTCGGATCCCATCGGTTCTGATAGGATCCTGGTAGCTTGAACCGACAAAATCCGATAGTGAAATAACTTTTTAGCAAATATGCAAAACAGAATGACATACAATGGAAACAACGGCAACAGGTAACTATCGTCTTCTTCTTCTATCTATCTTCTATATATATAAAGAAGAAAGTTTGTCTGTTTGTTTGTGCGCTATGCATTCAATCCCTGTAATAGCTATCGGCGTGAAACTTTCTACGATGCTTCCATGAGCCCAGAGGAAGGTCGACATCGACTTTTCCCCGAAAACAAATGAACCAGGCGTTTGCTACAGGCAATCTATGGAACTGACCAATAGGATTGCAGGATTTCAAAAATTGCGGTGACTGTGGGCATAAATGAGGACTAAGGTATTGGTAAAGGAGAAGAGTATGAATGGGGTGAGATCACGAGAATGAAACCCGCGTAAAATGTTTCTTAATTTGTAGCGGGTATCTCCGCTGGTCTCAATTAATTTTTGATTGTACAGGGTTGGAAATAATATTATTCAAGGGGGGTACCGCTATAATTTCAAGTATGAAATCCAATGAATTTTATAGTAGATGAAAGCCCGTGAAAAATGGAGTTTATTGGTATCAAATAGTGAAAGTTATATGAAATTTTCAGTTGAGAACCTGAGCCGTTTTCAGAAATTTTGTAGGTTTTTAGTGTTGAAAGCTAAAGTACCAATAATTCTGAAACGAGATGAAGTTATTTTCCAAAATATTTTTATATGGTTAGATAGAGCTCGTCGAGCTCTACAAAACGACATATATTAGAAAACCTGTTAACCATCTTTTTGCGATGAAAAAATTCGAAAACTACTGAGAAAACCACAAAAACGTTAAAAAACTGCTTTTTTAAAACAAAACAAAAAAACTTGATTGCTCAACAAAACTAACCTTTTACCATTGTTTTTACAATCCAGACAATTTCAAAAGGTACCTCGTCGATGCAGTGTGAAAAACTGCACCTATGAGTATATATGGAAACTGTCTGGATTGTAAAAACAATGGTAAAAGGTTAGTTTTGTTGAGCAATCAAGTTTTTTTGTTTTGTTTTAAAAAAGCAGTTTTTTAACGTTTTTGTGGTTTTCTCAGTAGTTTTCGAATTTTTTCATCGCAAAAAGATGGTTAACAGGTTTTCTAATATATGTCGTTTTGTAGAGCTCGACGNTACCCGCCCGTACCACGTGGCCCCGCGGTCCCCGCCGGCCAATCCCCGTGGACCGCACACCTCTGATTTGATACCAATAAACTCCATTTTTCACGGGCTTTCATCTACTATAAATTTCATTAGGTTTCATACTTGAAATTATTGCGGTACCCCCCTTGAATAATATTATTTCCAACCCTGTACAAATTATTATCGATGCGTCCTCAATCCAAGACGAAGAAGAAGCTTATTTATGTACCATCATCAATGATCGATGGTCTACTCCAGATCTATCACAACCATTCACTTGTTGAACATTTTGGAGTTCAAAGAACATACCTGAAGATCAAAAACAAGTTCTGATGACCGAATATGAAACAGTCGATCACACGATACATACAAGCATGTTTATCATATCAACAGCACAACGTTAGTCAATTGAAAAAACCTGGTAATTTACAACCGATCACTCCTCCAGAAGGACTATTTCAATTAGTTGGTATGGATTACTGCGGCCAACTTAAATCAACACCTCGTGGAAATCAATATGCACTCTGCATTACAGATTACTTGACGAGATGGATAGTTGCTGTCTCTGTACCCGATTGCTCGGCACAAACAACTGTCGAAGCATTATTCAACGAATATATTTGCAGATATGGGGTACCGATAGTGATATTATCTGATCATGGAACGCATTTCCACAATCAATTGATGGATGCAATGTCGGAATTAGTTGGATATAGTCACATATATTCAACCACTTATCATCCTCAATCGAATGGTATGATCGAAAGATTCAACGCGACATTGGTTCCGCAAATCACCAAACTTCAGGACAGAGAACACAACAATTGGGATGAATTCTTGGCACCAGTGGTATTTGCATACAACGCTGGAACCCATTCGACAATCGGATGTTCACCGTGCGAGTTGTTATTAGGCAGAGAACCGAGATTATCCATGAACCAACCAGTATCAACATTCATATTTCGAAGGCCAAATGATTATTATGAACAGGCAAAATCAATACAAAGAACGATATGATAAACATCGATCAGATCCTCGCTATTCGATCAATGATCGTGTGTTGATTAGGAGACATGGATTGAAGAACAATTTAGAGCCGAAATATTCAGCTACTCCACAAATTATCATGCGAGGAGAGCATCCTGTTTATGTGGTCAAAGATGAAATACCTCACAGTGAAACATGGGCACATATAATTGACATAAGACTCATTTATGTTTCAAAACCTGACTAATCGGTCGACAAACAAAAATATTTTTAGTATTAGCCCTATCAGTATTTTCACAGAAAATCTTTTTATGAACGACTCGATCAATATTTTTATTAATTAATATCCATTGATAAATATTTCTTATTGGTTTGGGACATGTTTTATATGAACAATATTTATGTTTATTTATATTAATTAGATGTATGCGCAACAGCTAAGGTAAGGGAATATTCATATTTAATGATTTAGGTTAATTGATCTTCTTAAATGTGTACGTTAAGACGATCGATATTAGATCGAATCTACATTTGAAAATGAACAATGATAAAATTTACAGTGGATAGAAACAGGAAAATCAAGTTGATTCAAACAAAATGAAACAACAATGAGCGAATAAACTATCGAAGGAAACTCACCTCTTAACGAAAAGATGTTTCTGATTGCGAACCAATCAAAGACTATCCCTTGTGTATCATTCGTCATGACTGGATGAATTAACAGAATATTTATTGACGCGAATTCGTTGTTTATCGGCTATGAACTAATTCTGACGGAATTGTTTATTTATATTTCGGCTTAAACGCGCGTAACGCAATGACGTTTTGGCCAGAGTGTACGTGTCTTTAAGAAACTGCTTTTTTCACCAGAATATGTACCACATAGTCATCTGCCATTCATGAAAAAAGCAGCTCGTTTCAGTACACCGTTCGAAAGCTATGAATGAAATACATGTTGTAACACAGTGATGAAAAATAGGCAAAGTTTCGATGGTGTGACACTTCTCGACTATTTTTCTGCGAATCTATCATATATCGAAAGAGATGTATGCTTGGTGTTTTGAAGCTCACGCCTTGATATGTTCATAACTAGAACTGGTTTCTGGAATGGGCACTCTGTTCTAATTAATAGTCGATTTTAAATATTGTAACGCGATGACGGTTTCGTTACGTGATGAAGCTAATGTTTGGGCCAAGTTTTTTTTTCGAATTTATTAGTTATACGTTCTTAACAGTATTATTAGTCTTTGATTTTAATCTCTAATGTCAACTATTGAGTATTGATGAGTCTCAATTATTGACAATTTCCCCATAAAATAGTTATTAATATAGCCTAATTTTCACGAGGATTATTATGGAAAACTATGTTTACTAAGTATCATAACCTATTTTTCCGCCTAGATACATGAAAAAAAAACAGGGAAAAGCACCAGCTTTATTTAATAGAAAAGCTATACGTTTTCGGACTATTACACTCATGGACAGACCGAGATCTCGGTCTCGGTACATCTCTACTTGTTACCCACTGGGTATTGGCCACATTTACTCAAATTCCTCCGGATTTTGGATATGCAGTGTCGATTTTTAAGCCGGACCCGTAGTAATGGTATTACGACATCACTCAAATTGAAAGATTTTGATCGTGGATTATTATTAGAACAATGTATGTAGCACTATGAGTCTATGATGGTGCGAATATGCGGTTACCTTTTTCGTGATTATCAACAATTGCGATCTTTTCTTCGCAGTTTGACCGCAGTCGAGAACATAGGCACAATGAAAAGAAAAACTAATGTTCTTTGTTCTTTGTCAAAAAAAAATAAACGTTGAACTCGTATCTCTTCGCTATGACAAAATAACAGTGGAGAATCCATTTCCATTCTGTTCTCGTTGCCGAGAAACAATAAATAAATTATATCTTGTGTAACACTATTTCAGTTTTTTTTTTCATTTAAATACAGGAAAAGAATACGACAAAGTGGTGTCAAATTCAAATAAGCTTTTTTTCTTCTCTTCGCACTTTAAAATTGTCACAAAGAAAAAATATATCATTCATTTGTTTTCTTACTGTGTCCCAAGTAGCAAGTGTAACAGTTTCTTTGCTGATGCTCGCCGTTTGCTCATGACTTTACAACTAATTAAAGAACAAAATCGTGTAAAAAGTGTATGTGGTCCATACTCGATCACTAGTTATATCGAAAAACAAATTTCATTTCATTTCTAGATCATCGAGAAGCTCAATCTTCAGCTTTCAGATGGTTCTACGTAAGTTAGTCGTCGTTTCTTGAATAAGTATATCTTTTAAATGAACGTTAGTAAAATGCCTGCTGATTTTGGTTTTCTCAAATTTGATGTTCGTAGTGACAACTGTACAAACAATCGTTTATCACAGGTGAAAGATTTTGGATTCTCTGAGAAACAAACATTCAGTTCTCTGTAGTTCATTCATGTTGACAAAACAACAACAAATGAATCAGTAGCTGAATTCATCATTCGTGCCTATCGACTTCCTATTCCTGATCTGATTTTATCAATTCAAACTGATGGAGTTAATATCACTAATGAAAAGACTAAAAGTATGATTCATCGAGGAATAGCTGCAACGGCGAAAATAATAAGTGAAAATCAAGTTAAAATATATTTTGAGCTTATTTTCGATGTTTAGACACTTGGGTGATGACAAATGGAAGTAATCAAGATATTATCAGACTCATTGGAAGTGCATTACAAAATGAAACGGTTGAAAATGATATTCCCTGTATTGGATTCACTAGTTGGAAACATCTTTCAAATCAGAAAGAAACTCTTCGACGTGTAATCATGATTATGAATAGAGGAAACTGAATGAACTTTCTTTCTCTTGTTTTAGATGAATACTTGTCATTCCAAGACAGTAGTAGATTCGGTTAATTGTGAACTAGAACCGAATCATACTCATTTCATTCTTTTCAGTGATGAATTATATGATTTAGAAAAGATTCCATTGAGACGTCAAATGATTGAACGACAATTAAGTCGAACATTGTTGCACAGTCAAATCAACGATGATCATCATCAGTCGAAGAATGGTAAAAATGATATTTAAATCTAAAATCTTTTTCAGTTCTTACTTGAGTAGTATTTCGTCAAAGTATTCCGATTGTTATGTTATTACTTGGTGGCCACTTAACGACGCTCATCACTCTATGTGAAGGTCTCAAGAATGAAACACCAATCGTTACTGTTCTTGTAAACACAAGCTCTTTCATAGAATATCAAAACATCTTTTCCTATTTTAGGGCACCGGCTATCTTGCAGATATTATTGCAAGATTATGTTTAGATCTTCGTTCTTATGATGAACTGATGAAGACACTCTGGAATGATCGAACAGATTTGAAAGAAAAATTAAAAGAGAAAAGGAATAAAGATATTCAAGAGTGTCGAATTCAAATAGAACGATTGATCAATCCAACAGAAAATGTTTTCGAACAGAAAAACATAACAATTCAAAATTGTTTAGAAATCATCATCAAAATGCAAAAATTGATTGTTGTCTTTGATGGAATTGGACGTCTTGATAATCTCGAAGATGCCATTGCTGATGCTTTGAGAAATGAAATCTATTTTCAACGTGATAGTGGAACAAAAGTCAAAGATGGATATGATCCACGAGCAGAAGAATTAAAATGGTGTTTGGTAAAATATTCTCTTTGACTTGCATTTGATAAACTTTGTTAAATATTTTAGATTTGGAATAAAGAAGCACATGGAGAACTGGAAATTTTGATCAATTTTGAAGATGAGAATACGGCGTTCGTGGAAACAAAACGACGTTGGGTAAGGTTTATCTTTAGTTCTAGTTTTTGATGATTATTCAATAAAATTGCTCACAGATAAATAAATTAGGACAAGCAGCACTTTTCGAAGCTTTATGTCGAAATAACATTCACTTCGTCGATCTATTGATGGACAATGGAGCATCTGTAGAAACATTCAGTGTCAATGAATTCAAGATTATTTGTGAGAAAACACTGGTAATAACAATTAAATACAAAGATTTACGGAGTATCGAATGTCTCTTTCAGAATAAATATGCTTTAAATCTTGATTTGACTAAATCCTCTATTTATGCAACGAATGATTCAGACAAGTTCATTGAAGAAATCTACAAAGCGTATCTTTGGCAATATTTGGAACATTATGTATGTTTAGTAAAGAACAAGATGAAACACATTGATTTGCTTTTCATTGATTTATCGAAGGTAAAAGAAGAAAATAGCAGAGAAAAAAAATCAACAATACAACAACTGATTTATTGGAATAATAAGCATCAGTTTCATTCAACGAATATCACGAATATTTTGTTTAACCAACATAAAACTGAAGCACTTTATCTTTGGTTATTGTTTATGAAAAGACCTGAAATGGCAAAATGTCTGTGTTCAAAACTTCAAGTAAAAGAAAACAATCTCATTGATCTCTTTTTCTTTTATGTTTGTTTCTTGGTCAATCAGAATCAAACAGTAGCAACACTTTTAGCAGCTGCAATTTATTTCAAAGCAGCAAAGAATAATATACAAAATCGTCCTGCATTAATCAAATTGGGAAAGTTAGTAGATCGAATTTTCTTCGATATATTAAATTTATTTCGTTAATTCTAAAAGAGAATTTGATCGTCATGCAAAGAATCTCATTGATGAATGTTTTTCTCAAGATAAGAGTCTTGCTCATAAATTAATTCATTGCAAAGCTCCAGCATTTTATCATTGTACTCCGCTGGACATTGCTCGACGTGCTGATTGTCGACGTTTTCTCGCCAGTGATACTGTTCAAAGACATGTTGATCAAAAATGGTATCATCATTTCGATACTCATCAACGATTTTTAAATATGCCAATCTATGTTTGGGTTTGTTCAAATTTTATTTACCATATAAAGAAGCTCTCTCTCTCTCTCTCTGCATTCAGGTTTGCATTTTATCGTTACTTTTACCTCTTATACCCATTGGAGCTGTATTGTTTCCTTCTCTGTACAAGAAATCTTCTGTAAATAAACAGAAAAACAAATATTTCAATCGATTTCGTTCACCAGTGGTTTATCAATGGACGTTCGTGGAAGTTTCTCGTCTATATTTGATTATTAGTTCGTTTGTTTTCTAGATCAGCAGATGATAGTGGAGAGAAACGATATTGCGCACAAATGGTCATTTGGTTTCGTGAAATATGGCGTCGAATATTGTATTTCTACGAAGCTCCAGTAGTGCGCTTTTATTATCATGCTGTGAGGATTATTTAATATGCATTGATTAAAGATAACGAGATTTGGATTTAGATATTCTTCTTCGTATTTCTGACTTTATTCAGTTACGTTCTTTTGGTTGATTATTTTCCTTTAAATAATTATGGTGGAACACGTTCGGGTTTTCGCCGTTTAAAAATTCCAATTTCAGAAATTCTTTTACATATTTCTATTTGGACTTTAATTATCGATGCGTCCTATGAGGTCAGTTAGTTCTATCAATTGAGAAACAAATTTTCTTCATTTTTATTCGTACCGTTAGTTAACATCACGAGCACAATTACATTACGATTATGTTGTCAGCAGTTGGAATTTGGAAGATGTAGCAGCCGTTGTTTGTTATTTGATCGGATTTATTGCGCGATTTTTTATGAATGAATCCGCTTTTATCGTCTCAAAGTAAGATTTATTTTCAAATGAAGATTTATATTCATTGCTATGTTATTTGTCTCAAAAAGAGTATTCATGTCCGTTGATTTAATTCTTTGGTCGATTCGACTTCTTCATCTGTTTTCTGCCTACGAATCTTTGGGTCCTAAACTAATGATGATTTCGAGAATGGTGAGCGTTGTTTTATGAAGAAAATCCATTTTATCATTTGTTGTAGATTAAAGATGCATTTCTGATCTTCGTTTTCTTCATTCTGATTCTGCTGCTTGCCTTTTCGGTCACTTCTTGGTCTCTTTTATCAACCAATACTCAAGTGAATTGGATCTATGGAGACGATGGTTCGTTATTCAATGTTACTGTACTCAATGGCGGAAGTGGCCTTTGGACATGGCAATTACTTCGAGATGTTTTAAATTGGGGTATATGGAAAGTATTTGGACAAATCGATGAACCTTTCAATAATCTTGTCAGCGGTAAAAAAATATTTGTTTCCACTGTTTTTCTTTGGAAAACGAAGAAATTCCATTTTAGATAATGATGTCTATGGAACAGTTGTTTTTCTATTTGCAATTATCTTTGTGGTGATATCAAATGTTCTTCTGATGAACGTTCTCGTTGCCATGTTTAAGTACGACTGAATAATTTGAATAGTTTTATTTGAAAGTGATTTTAGTGTGACAATTCAACGAGTTCTCGATCGATCACATCGAATTTGGAGACATCAGAGATTTTTACTTGTTTATGAATACAGTCAAAGACCTGTTTTACCTGCACCATTGAGTGTCTTCTATTATATTTTTCAATTGTTCACATCTCTTTGCGGATGTTATCGACGGAAATGTTTATGCAGATCAACACGAGTCGATCGAATTCAAGGTAAGAGAAATGAAAGATTTTCGAAGAAAGATCTTCGATATTTTAGATGAATCATCGGAATTTAGTACTTCCGATACCTCATATGAGATCAATTATGAAAAAGAAATTGGAGAAATCTATTGGAAACGTTGTGGATTTGTCGTCGAAGAAGGAGAAGAACAGAACAATATTCTCATTGGAAAAGTTTTAGAGAAAAAGTATCGAAATAACAAATAAACTTAGTTTAAATCTCTTCTTTCTTAGAATTGATAAACTCAATGATGGAATTAATCGAATACTTCAAAAATATTCTTTACAAAAACCAGATATTCAAATATTTAAAGTAAAATTATCTATAAGAAAAACACAAATTTCTCTTAATCAGATTTGTAGAGTGATATTGAATCTTCTACACCTCCTCCATCGCCATCATCGTCTGAACTGACAACTCTGATTGTTTCTTCTCAAGAAAGAAACAATCAACACATACGAAGAACCAAAGTGAATATCATACGATTGGTAGAATGTGACAAATCCCATTCAACACCAACTTCTGAGTATAATTATTGTTGATCAAATTAATTTCTCTTTTGTAATTCATACTGATTTCTAGAATTATCAATATCAATGTTTTACCTGCTCGAAAGGCTCAGTCAACTACAGGATTATCGATCATCAATAGATCACGCGTTTCATAAATCTAATTCAATTAATGCTATTCGAATATTTTAATTCATATTGATAAAAAATGAACATTAACGCACGCGTTTGCATTCGACAAAGATAAAAATCGATTATATATTGAGAGGTGGCTAAGCATGAGTGATCCACTAGAGCGAGATTGGCCAACGGCTAGATATTTATATGACGAGAATAAGGCCGAAAATAAGAACTGAAAGAATTAGATAGTTTGAATGATTTGTACGAAAACCTAATTGGTGTTGTTCGAAGAACGAGATCACTCGAGTATTGGTGAGTAAAAGTAGAAAGAAGAACACAATCTGTGTTCCAGATCACACTATCAGGTGAAGCTACAATATCTCTGATGAGAAACTGATTGACTTTAAAGTACACGTTTGGAACAACTACATCAAACTGGAAAATTTCTAAAAAGGGTTTGACGAACGCTCTTCGATGAAAATACCAGTAGCACGCGCAGTGCCTTACTTGTGATTATGCGAACAAGATACGTTCCATAAAGACATTAATCAATTGTATTTGAGAAGTTGTTGATGCATACGACTAACATTAATCACTGACACCGTTTCATCAACATCGTCGTATGTGATGCACAGTTAGTTTCGACGATGAAGACAAATATTTTTCGTATCATTCGAGCTAACGAATTTATTTAACTTCATTTGGAAAAATTCGATTTAGAGTTTTGTTTCCTATATAGAAAAAAATTAAGATGTAGGTAAAATTTTCTCCAAAATTTGCCCCGTGAATAAAAACATCATTTCATCGGATAATTTACAATGGATAGAGACATAACATCTAATACAGAGAAAAATGTTTCTATAAGATTCTAAATCAAACATTGCTCAATGAATATGTCATTCAGGAATTCATGAATTGTCGGTAGAGGAACGGAACAACTGCTGGATCAATTCTTTTCTTCGTTCGATTGTCGATCGTCATGACTTTCATTTCTTACGTATAGTTAATTGAGACAACAGATATATTGATTCGACGAAGAAATCATTTCAAAAGATCTCTTTTATTAATGTTTCCTTTCTAATATTCCTTGTTTTTAACAATTTCATCTCACATCATTCTCATTGGCTTTTTTCTCTTCCATACAAAACAAAGTCACCCTATTTATTCCTGTTCTGTTGATTACAAAGAAACAGCAGAAAAAAACAATCAATGCAACGTCATTATCATGGGTCAAAATAGGAATTTACCAACTAAAATTTGTTTTCTTCGTTGCTTTCATATTTATTTATTTCAATGTCAATTCTCTGAAACAAACATTTATTGTGACGCTCTGACAAACGAGTCAAATACTTCCGTCCAGCATTGGTCTTGTGTTAATGGATGAGATGAAGATAAAACGTTTCAAAACTTTATCACTCGCCGTGAAAAACAATTTTACATTGTTACCAAATGAACTTCTTCTGAATATATTCGAATATCTTTCATCATGGGATCTTGTTCGTGCATTTGATCAACATTCTTTACAATTTGGTCCACCTGTAACATATTGTCTTGTTAAACGAGGAATGGATTTGTCAAATATTCAATCCTCTGATGTTCATTTACTTCCATCGTGTTTATCATTTATCAAAAAACAATATTTAAATATTTGTGTTAATGAACAACGACTTTGTCTTTTATTAACTTATGTTCCAATGCCAAGAACTCTTATTTGTTTCCTCGATATGTCATTAGAAAAATCTTTCTTTTTTCAAATGTTACCAGCATCACTTTCATGTCAAAAATTAATTCTTCAATGTAAATCCACTTGCCAACGATGCATAAATATTGATGAAATTTTATTATTATTATCAACATCTGTTCAAACACTTTTTCTCGTTGATATCCTTTGTATTGTTAATCAACAAAGATTATCACAAATTTCTTGTATTTTTTCTATTCAACATCTTCAATGTACATTAGAAACTGAAGATGATCTTTGTGAAATATTGAAATTAATACCTTCGATAATCTTTATTGATATCAAATTATTATTCGATAAATCATCTCAATCTTATGAAAGATTATCATTACCACGAAATTATCGAATTGAATATCCTCGTGAAAGTTTAATTAATTTAAATCGATTTCCTTCTTATACAAAGATGTACGATCAAACACTTTATTCTCTTCCTTGGTTTTCGAATAATTCTTCATTAACTCTTCATTCATGTCGAGCAATAAATTATCAAGAAAGTTTTTCCAATTCCTTACCTATGATTCATCAATTAACTATCCAATGTTCATTTGAACCCTGGTTATTGGATTTCGTCATATTTCTTCGTCAAACATTTCCAAATCTACAAACTCTTCGTACAATTCAAAGTAGTGATAACAGACGTCGCATAGTGACAATTATCACAACTACAGATAGAAAATTAGGACGATGCACTATGTATTAATTTGATTTTAACTAATGTCGAATTGATGATTTATTCAATGATGAAATATCTTAGATTACAGAGATTCTCAACAAATATTTCAATTTGAGTTTATTTATTTATAAAAATCTAATAAATCGAAGGAATGATCAATCGACGAATTTGATCTTGAAGAGATTTTGTTAAATGAAGATTTTCTGGATAAGTTCTTCGGTAGAAATTCAAAGCATTGAGATAAAATTGTTGTGCTCGGTTGAGATTCTTTTGTTTGAAATAAATTTCTGCCATAATTTCATTTATTTGACCTAATTGAAAATAATCATTCGAATTCTTTCGATATTTATAATTAATTAATTGATGATAATAAAATAAAGCTTTATTGAACTGTTGTTCTTGTAAATAAACATTTGCGAGAATTTGATAAATTTCTTCATAAGAAAATTCTTTGGAAAATTTTTGTTGGATTTGTTTATTTAATAATTTGGAAAAATACGAAATTGTTCGATGAAAATCGAATGAATTTGTTTGTTTTGGATTGATTAAGAACTGATAAAAGAAATCTTTTTTGAGAAAAATTTGTCCGATGAATTGAAAAATCTTTTGAATCGATGAATTTTTGAAAGATTTATGAATGAAAAGACAATCGAGAGAAAGATTGAAATAGATTAATGATTTGTTATAAGAAGCTTCTTTGAAATAAATTTTTCCAATAAGATAATAAAGATTTGCGAGTGATAAATCATTGGGTAATCGATTTCGTAATTTTTCATTTAATAATTTCTGAAGATAAAACAATGCTTGATGAAGATTTTCTTTTTCTAAACAAATCTTTGCTAAAATTTGTAAAATTTTCTTCTTTGACGAAGATTTGTCTTGAAAATAATTATAAACTTGATCTAAATGTCGTTGTTGAAAATGTTTCTTTTCAATCAATTCGGATCGATTCTCCGATGTGGAGAAATCTTCATCAAATTCCAAGTTTTGTTTGAAAGATGATTTTTTCAAATAAATTTTTCCAATTGAACGATAAATTTGTTGAATTTTTGATTTATCCGTTGGTTTCTTTTTCAAATAACAATCAAGTAAACGATTATAATAATTTAATGATTCTTCGAAGAGATTTTTTTCAAAATAAATTTCTGCAAGGATTTTATATGTTGAAACAAATGAAAAATCTTCATGAAATTTTGTTTGAAGTTCATTTTGAAGAAATTCAAAAAAAAACTTCAAACATTGATCAAAATCACCTTTGTCGAAATAAACATCACCAAGAGATTTATATGAATAACTTAATGATGGATCACCGAATTCTTTTCGACTTAATTCACTTTGATGTGCTCGATGAAAATAAATTAAAGCTTCATCATAATTTTGAGTTTGTCGATATAAATTCGCCAAATTGAGATATTGTAAAAGAACAGACGGATGATTCCATGAAAGTGTTTTCAATTGATTTTCAAGTGATTGTTTATAAAACGATAAAGCTTCATCAAATTGACCTTGTTTTAAATAGAAATGAGCATAATTTCGAAATGTTTCTGTAAAATCTGAATGATTATTTGGAAGAGATTCGATTTGTAATTGAAAAGCTTTATCAAGAAATTCTTTTGTTTTGTTTTCTTCATTCATTTGTAAATACATAAGAGCAAGTGCATTGTACGTATATCCTAAATCAGGATGATCTTTTCCGAGGTTTTTCTTTTGAATTTCAATTGCTTTTTCAAACATTTCTGATGCTTTGTCAATTTCATTAATCTTTGTATAAACTTGTCCAATTTGAAGAAAAGTATTTGCAATCAATGCGTGTGATGAAGATGAATATGATTGAAGTGTTTTGTCATAATATAAAAGAGAAAGATGATAATTTTCTAAATGAAAATGAAGTTTTGCTAAACCAGAATATGTGATTGATGAATTATTCTTTTTGCTTTCTAAAGCTTTTTCATAATATTGAAATGCAAGAAGAATTTGATCTTGTTGAAAATAAATCAATGCTAAATCATTATAACATGTTGAAATCAATGAATGTTCATCTTCTTTTGCAATATTTAATAGATAATTTAATGATTGATTTAAATTTTCAATTGAACTATGAAAATCTCCTTTGATTTGATTAATTTGAGAAAGACCATGATAACAAAATGCTAAATCTATTGGATTATCGATAAGATTCGATCGAATTAATCGTTGATAATGTTTTTCTGCTTGTTCATATTTCATCATTTGAATAAAATAATTTCCAAATGCGATTAATTGATTTTGTCCTTCTAATTCATGTTCAATATTCAATATGAAATCTTTCAAATCATCATCATTTTTCGAACATAATGTTAAACAAACAATCCAAAGTTGAAGTTCTTTATCAAAAAAGATTTCATCAAGACGAAATATTGAACCAAACATGAAAAGAATTTCTTCTTCATCGGGAAAGGCACTTAAACGTCGAATATCTGCAAACGGTTTCGATTGATTATTTAAATCAACATTAATTTCTAAAAAATACGGATGTTAAGTTTTCATTGATGATTTTTCGATTTTGTGCAAATTGTAAAGCTTTTGTTCGATTTCTACTTGTGGATAAAAATGAATTCATTGAAATTAATTCACCTTGAGTTGTTTTTAATCGATTTAATTCATCGATACTAATCAATTGTCCCCGATAAACTTGAATAAATGAATATTTTTGTTCTTTTNTTTAGAAACCGTCATCAAAATGCAAAAATTGATTGTTGTCTTTGATGGAATTGGACGTCTTGATAATCTCGAAGATGCCATTGCTGATGCTTTGAGAAATGAAATCTATTTTCAACGTGATAGTGGAACAAAAGTCAAAGATGGATATGATCCACGAGCAGAAGAATTAAAATGGTGTTTGGTAAAATATTCTCTTTGACTTGCATTTGATAAACTTTGTTGAATATTTTAGATTTGGAATAAAGAAGCACATGGAGAACTGGAAATTTTGATCAATTTCGAAGATGAGAATACGGCGTTCGTGGAAACGAAACGACGTTGGGTAAAATTTATCTTTAGTTTTCGTTTTTAATGATTATTCAATAAAATTGCTCACAGATAAATAAATTAGGACAAGCAGCACTTTTCGAAGCTTTATGTCGAAATAACATTCATTTCGTCGATCTATTGATGGATAATGGAGCATCTGTAGAAACATTCAGTATCAATGAATTCAAGATTATTTGTGAGAAAACATTGGTAATAACAATTAAATACAAATATTTACTGAGTATCGAATGTCTCTTTAAGAATAAATATGCTTTAAATCTTGATTTGACTAAAACTTCTATTTATGCAACGAATGATTCAAACAAATTCATTGAAGAAATCTACAAAGCGTATCTTTGGCAATATTTGGAACATTATGTATGTTTAGTAAAGAACAAGATGAAATAGTTACATTGATTTGATTTTCATTGATTTATCGAAGATAAAAGAAGAAAATAGCAGAGAAAAAAAATCAACAATACAACAACTGATTTATTGGAATAATAAACATCAGTTTCATTCAACGAATATCACAAATATTTTGTTTAACCAACATAAAACTGAAGCACTTTATCTTTGGTTATTATTTATGAAAAAACCCGAAATGGCAAAATGTCTCTGTTCAAAACTTCAAGTAAGAAAACAATCTTATTGATATTTTTTTCTTTCATATTTGTTTCTTGGTCAATAAGAATCAAACAGTAGCAACACTTTTAGCAGCTGCAATTTATTTCAAAGCAGCAAAAAATAATATACAAAATCGTCCTGCATTAATCAAATTGGGAAAGTTAGTAGATCGAATTTTCTTCGATATATTAAATTTATTTCGTTAATCATAAAAGAGAATTTGATCGTCATGCAAAGAATCTTATTGATGAATGTTTTTCTCAAGATAAGAGTCTTGCTCATAAATTAATTCATTGTAAAGCTCCAGCGTTTTATCATTGTACACCGTTGGACATTGCTCGACGTGCTGATTGTCGACGTTTTCTCGCCAGTGATACTGTTCAAAGACATGTTGATCAAAAATGGTATCATCATTTTGATACTCATCAACGATTTTTAAATATGCCAATCTATGTTTGGGTTTGTTCAAATTTTATTTACCACATAAAGAAGCTCTCTCTCTCTCGTTTCATCCAGGTTTGCATTTTATCGTTACTTTTACCTCTTATACCCATTGGAGCTGTGTTGTTTCCTTCTCTGTACAAGAGATCGTCTGGAAATAAACAGAAAAACAAATATTTCAATCGATTTCGTTCACCAGTGGTTTATCAATGGACGTTCGTGGAAGTTTCTCGTCTATATTTGATTATTAGTTCGTTTGTTTTCTAGATCAGCAGATGATAGTGGAGAGAAACGATATTGCACACAAGTAGTCATTTGGTTTCGTGAAATATGGCGTCGAATTTTGTATTTCTATGAAGCTCCAGTAGTGCGCTTTTATTATCATGCTGTGAGGATTATTTAATGTGCATTAATTAAAGAGAAAGAGATTTATATTTAGATATTCTTCTTTGTATTTCTGACTTTATTCAGTTACGTTCTTTTGGTTGACTATTTTCCTTTAAATAATTATGGTGGAACACGTTCGGGTTTTCGCCGTTTAAAAATTCCAATTTCAGAAATTCTTTTACATATTTCTATCTGGACTTTAATTATCGATGCGTCCTATGAGGTCAGTTAATTCTATCAATTGAGAAAAAAATTTTCTTTATTTTTATTCGTACCATTAGTTAACATCACGAGCACAATTACATTACGATTATTTTGTCAGCAGTTGGAATTTGGAAGATGTAGCAGCCGTTGTTTGTTATTTGATCGGATTTATTACGCGATTATTTATGAATGAATCCGCTTTTATCGTCTCAAAGTAAGATTTATTTTCAAATTAAGATTTATATTCATTACTATGCTGTTTGTCTCAAAAAGAGTATTCATGTCCATTGATTTAATTCTTTGGTCGATTCGACTTCTTCATCTGTTTTCTGCCTACGAATCTTTGGGTCCTAAACTAATGATGATTTCAAGAATGGTGAGTGTTGTTTTATGAAGAAAATCCATTCTATCATTTGTTGTAGATTAAAGATGCATTTTTGATCTTTGTTTTCTTCATTTTGATCCTGCTACTTTCCTTTTCGGTCACTTCTTGGTCTCTTTTATCAACCAATACTCAAGTGAATTGGATCTATGCAAACGATGGTTCGTTATTCAATGTTACTGTACTCAATGGCGGAAGTGGCCTTTGGACATGGCAATTACTACGAGATGTTTTAAATTGGGGTATATGGAAAGTATTTGGGCAAATCGATGAACCTTTCAACAATCTTGTTAGTGGTAAAAATAATATTTGTTTCCGCACTGTTTTTCTTTGGAAAACGAAGAAAAAATTTCATTTTAGAGAATGATGTTTATGGAACAGTTGTTTTCCTATTTGCAATTATCTTTGTGGTGATTTCAAATGTTCTTCTGATGAACGTTCTCGTTGCCATGTTTAAGTACGAATGAATAATTTAAATAGTTTTATTTGAAAGTGATTTTAGTGTGACAATTCAACGTGTTCTCGATCGATCACATCGAATTTGGAGACATCAGAGATTTTTACTTGTTTATGAGTACAGTCAAAGACCTGTTTTACCTGCACCATTGAGTGTCTTCTATTATCTTTTTCAATTATTCACATCTCTTAGTGAATGTTATCGACAGAAATGTTTATGTGGATCAACACGAGTCGATCGAATTCAAGGTAATGAGAAATGAAAGATTTTCGAAGAAAGATCTTCGATATTTTAGATGAATCATCAGAATTTAGCATTTCCGATACCTCATATGAGATCAATTATGAAAAAGAAATTGGAGAAATCTATTGGAAACGTTGTGGATTTGTCGTCGAAGAAGGAGAAGAACAAAACAATATTCTCAATGGAAAAGTTTTAGCGAAAAAGTATCGGAATAATAAATAAACTTAGTTAAATCTGTTCTTTCTTAGAATTGATAAACTCAATGATGGAATTAATCGAATACTTCAAAAATATTCTTTACAAAAACCGGATATTCAAATATTCAAAGTAAAATTATCTATAAGAAAAACGCAAACTTCTCTTAATCAAATTTGTAGAGTGATATTGAATCTTCTACACCTCCTCCACCGCCATTATCGTCTGAACTAACAACTCTGATCATTTCTTCTCAAGAAAGAAACAATCAACAAATACGACGAACCAAAGTGAATATCATACGATTGGTTGAATGTGACAAATTTCATTCAACGTCAACTTCTGAGTATATTATTGTTGATCAAATTAATTTCTCTCTTCTAATTCATACTTATTTCTAGAATTATCAATATCAATGTTTTATCTGCGCGAAAGACTTAACCAACTAAAGGATTATCGACCATCAACAGATCACGCGATGCATAAATCTAATGCGATTAATGTAATTCGAATATTTTAATTCATATTGATAAAAAATGAAAATCAACTCATGGGTTTCCATTCGACGAAGATAATAATGGATTATATATTGAGAGGTGACTACGCATGAGTGATCTACTAGAGCGAGATTATTCAAAAACGATTAGATATTTATACGGTACGGCGAGAATAGGGCCGAAAATAAGAACCGAAAGAATTAGATAGTTTGAATAATTTATACAGAAACTTAATTAGTGTTGTTCGAAGAACGAGATTACTCGAGTATTGGTGAGTAAAAGTGGAAAGAAGAACAAAATTTGTGTTCCAGATCACACTATCAGGTGAAGTTGCAATATCTCTGATGAGAAACTGACCGACTTTAAAGTACACGTTTGGAACAACTACATCAAACTGGAAAGCTTTCTAAAAGGGGTTTGACGAACGCTCTACGATGAAAATATTCGACACGAAATCATTTTCCTGAAAGTATAGAAAAGAATCAGTAGTTATGGCTGCAAAACACAGCTAGTACTCGAAAACTACTGACTAACAAATGGCTACCTTAGTTCAATTCGTGAAAAACGAACAATCTCTGCTTCTATTAACTCTAGTGTGTGACACGGTGTTGTGATTCAGTTAAGGACCATAGTAGCACACACAGTGCCTTACTTGTGATTATACGAACAAGATACGTTCCATAAAGATATTAATTAATTGTGTTTGAGAAGTTGTTGATGTATGCGACTAACATTAGTCACTGACGTCGTTTCATCAACATCGTCGTATGTGATGCAGAATTGTTTCGATGATGAAGATAAATATTTTCTTAATAGATTATTTTCATGTATTCCATCGAGAAATGAAGGTTATCATCAAGGCATCGTATACTGAAGATGTGTGGGACAAGGTTTTTCCATACTCGGTGCGCCCCGTGAATTTTGTGTGTAATAATTGAATTTATTCAGCGAAATAACATCATAACAGTTGAACTGAATGCACGCTCAACTGCTGCAGATGAAGAAGAGGTACAAAATATTTTCTTCGCTAATTTAGCCGAATTAGATAATAATCATTCTTGTTCTTGCCACAAAACAAGAGGATTCTCATTCTTATCATTTGAGCTAATGAATTTATTTAACTTCATTTGTAAATATAATTCAAACTCCCCATGAGCGTACGTTACATCGAGCTTGTTATGTTTTTTTCGACTCGAAACAATCTTCAGCATCATCCCATCATAATTCTCTGTATAAGACTTTAATTTTTTTTTAGATGTAGGCGAAGTGCTACCAATACCTTCTGATTGTGTTGATGCATCATCATTACCTTGATCTTATCGATACGTTGACTAGAAACGTTTTCCCTAAATAAGTGCTGTGCATGAAAACTAACCCTTTCGGTTCAAAATTTAATTCTGCATCGAGTGATTATACTTCTATTCACGGGACAAGCTTTGGAAAAATTCGATTTAGAGTTTTGTTTCCTATATAGAAAAAAATTAAGATGTAGGTAAAATTTTCTCCAAAATTTGCCCCGTGAATAAAAACATCATCACACCATTTCATCATATAATTTACAATGGGTCGAGACATAACATCTAATAACAGAGAAAAATG